AATTTTGGCTAATTTGGATCGAAGCGATTCGATGAAATTTTATAGGAGTTATCTACCTTTAGAAAATAAATTTGTCGGTATGATTTTTTAACTTATAAACCTTTAACCATATAACCCTGGAACTATTTTATTTGAGGTCCCTAGGTCCTAACTTAGAAAATGAGGTCAGGGTCAAAGGTCAAGGTCAAGTTCTAAATTTTGACTTTTGCTTATTTTTGCATTTTCTCCAACACTTTTAAAGGTATATATATAAAAGAACAAGTGCAAAATGTTTGCTTTATTGTAATGAAAATTTGTTACATTTGGTCTGATACAATCTTATGGCATCTTATAGGAGTTAGTGCCCCTGGAATGTCTAATTATAAGGTTAATTGAATATAGCTTCAACTTGGTTCATTATAAAGCCATATGACCTTTAACAAAAGGTTAGGTGACATATGACCTTGAAAATTGACAACCGGAAGTGACCTTGAGAAAACCGGAAGTAGCTATTTTTGCACTTTTTTCATGTACTAAGAATCCGTATTTTTTGTAATATAGATACATAAACTTCTCACTAATGACCACAAGTGACTTTCGATAAATCGGAAGTGGCCAATTATATCCTGTTTTACATGCAAAATTATATAGAAACTATATATTTTTGGAATCAGTGTGAAAGAAGCTATCTGATGAGACCGGTAGTAACATTTACTTCACAGGAAGTAGCATATTATCCCCCTTTAAACTCAAAAATAAATAGAAACCACTTATTTATCGCATCAGTATGAAGAAACTTATGATTAGATGACAATTTAAACTTTGAGTACACAGGAACTAGCTTCTTTTCAATAACTTTGAAAATTGATTTGGAAAGACCTTCAATTGTTCTCTGAACAATTGGTTTTTAATTTTTTTTTTTTTTTCGCCAAATTTTGTTCTTGTGATAAATATTTGTTTCGCAAGATGTTGCTTAGATGTTTCGTATATGATATCGAACAGTTTATGCGCCTTTGAAATTGACCCTGCTTAACCGAATACTTTTCTTTGTAGGACTTATCTCCCCGAACACTGTTTTCCTTGTGTGTGCATCTCCTCCGTAACCGTAAAAGAAAGCGACAAATTTATTTTACCAAATTGCTTGTTATATCCTCAGGATGTTTTGTCCAATTTTGACCGAAGCGATACGTAAACTCCATATGAGAGTTATTTCCCCTTCTGTATTTGACATAAGGGATATATAAATGTATAGCATGAATGGTAAGTGATAGAGACCTAAGGTATATTGATTTGAGTTCCTTGGTTCATTTAAATGAAATTGAGGCCAAGGTCAAAGGTCAAGGTCATATTCTAAATTTTGACTTTTCCTTGTTATTTGATCTCCTCTGTCACTTTTAAAATTACAAATTAAAGAACTAGTGCAAAATGTTTGCTTAATTGTGATTAAGATATGATGCATTTGGTCTGAAACAATCCAATGATATCTTATAGGAGTTATTGTCCTTGAAATGATTCAATGTAAGGTTAATTGATTATTACTCCAACTTGGTACATGATAAAGCCATAAGGTCTTTTGCAAACTGTTGGTTGACATATGACCTTGAAAAAAGTAAACCGGAAGTGACCTTGAGTGAATCGGAAGTAGTTTTTTTTGCACTATTTTCATGGAAAAGTACCAAAAAACGTTTTTTTTTTAATGATCATAGGTAAACCTATCATTTGAGACCGGAAATGCATTTTATAAACCGGAAGTAGCATATTATCTTTTTATTACAGGCATAAGTATATACAAACTATATATTTTTGGAATCAGTGTGAATAAAGCTATCATATGAGACCGAAAATGACATTTTCTAAACCGGAAGAGTGCATTTATCTCCCTTATTTCAGGCAAAAGTATATAGAAACCATTTATTTATTGAATCAGTATACTTTGACGCTATTAATAACTTTGAGTAAACCAGAAGTAGCTTCCTATCAATTATTTAGAAAATTGATGTGGAAAGACCTTTAATTGTTCTTTGAACAATTGGTTTTTAATTATTCTTATTCTTCTCTTTCTGACCCCTACCATTTTCTTGGAAGCTATACAGGATGGAAACTTTATATTTATTATTGGTATGGGTCTGTATCATGGGGGTTGCAGAACTCAAAATTCATGATACCAGGGTGTCCACTTGGCATAATTAGGGGGCCTCAAAGATGGGTGGGGTCAAAAAAGTTTTACATTTCTTAAATTAGCTGCTGTATGTAGAGTAGATAGAATTATGATTACTTCTATGAATATTTAGAGACACATGTCCACTTCAACATGGAACATTTCTTATTTCAGTTGGGGGTCTCCTTGGCTTAATTTGAGGGGGGGGGGGTGAATTTTCATGGAACATTCTAGAACATCAGTGTTGAATTAATTCTAGAGACATAAAATGTTATATGATGGTATATTATTATGGGTAGCACCATATGCAACAGCAGTTTGACTTTGGAATTTTTAAAATGTCCGCCGTTACCATGGAAACTGCAAAAATGAGAAAAATTTCAAAATGCTTTAAACTTAATGAAACTTTACACAAATGTTGATTAGCATATATAGATGTGGCATTTGACTTTAGAATTTCCAAAATGGCCGCCGTTACCATGGAAACTGCAAAAATGTCATTTCTCTTTAAATGCTTCAAACTGAATGAAACTTTAGACAAATGTTAACTGGCATATGATGACGTGCTATTTAACTTTGGAATTTCCAAAATGGCTGCCGTTACCATGGATACCGCAGAAAAATGATTGGGGGTCCGTTTTGGCGACTTTTGTGTTAGCATCCTAACACAGGATTACTAATTAAGTCGGAGTTTTGGGGACTTTATGTTTTTGTCTCGTTTCTTATTATTATTATGGCACCCACAACGGAGTTGGGGTGACATCTTTTTATTCTACGTTTTTTTTTTCTTATTTTTATTATGGCACCCTCAATGGAGTTGGGGTGACATATTGTTATTCTACGTTTCTTTTCTTTTCTTTTTATTATTATATTATTATTATTTTTATTCTTCCACACTTTTTGTCCGAGCTATTTCTCGGAATTGAATGGACCAAAGTTAATGGAACTATATCATAATGTGGACCACTATGTGAAGTTGTGCAAGAGACATTAGAATGGTTCAAAATGGCCGCCGTTACCATGGAAACAGTTAAAATGTAAAAAAAAAATCAAATTTCTAAATCTTTTGTTATAAGAGCCATCTTACTGAAACTTTATGTAAATGTTGCCAGTGGTGCCCTGAGGTACCATCAGTACTTAGAAATTCCAAAATGGCTGCAATTGCCATGGAAACAGGAGAAAAATTTAACATTGATCCTATGGGGAAACACATTAAAGCAGCATTTTCTTGAATAATATTCGATCAAACACAATGAAACCTCATGAATATATAACATGGCATAAGTCAATGTTGTAGCCGTTGTTGGAATTTTCGAAATGGACACCGTAACCATTGAAACAGCAAAAATGTCCAAAAATTTCAAAATGCTCCAAACTTAATCAAACTTAAAATAAGTGTTGATTGGTAAGTAAAGATGAGATGTTTGAACTTGGAATTTCCAAAATGGCCGCAGTTGCCATGGAAACTGAAAAATAAGAAATATTGAAAAATGCTATAAACGTTCTGAAAATTTACAGACTGATGTGTTATGATGTATTTATGTAAAATGACTGTTTAAAAAATTTCAAAATGGCTACAGTTTATTGGCAATGTGGGATGGGTGCCATCCGCTATTGCTTGCAATGGCAAATCTAGTTATTATTATGGCACCCTCAACGGAGTTGGGGTGACATATTGTTATTCTACGTTTCTTTTTTTCTTATTATTTTTATTATGGCACCCTCAACGGAGTTGGGGTGACGTATTGTTATTCTACGTTTCTTTTTTTTCTTATTATCATGTCACCCGATCGACAATGCCGGGTGACATATTGCTTTTCCTCTGTTTCTGTCAGTATTATTATTATTATTATTTTTCTTCCACCTAATTTTGTCCGGGAGTTTTCTCAGAGCCAAAGGAACCAATCTAAATGATTGTTTACTATAACAAGGAACCCTGACTTGCGAGTTGCAGTGCAACTTTGGAACTAAAAAATGGCTGCCATCACCATGGAAACCGAAAAAAGGTGAAAAAATAAAATTTTGGAGTTTGGTGAATTATTTGAGAATGCTTAGATTTAAAATCATTAAATTTTAATACAATGTAGTTGTCCACTATATACAAGTTTTGACTGATTTTGACAATCATTGGAACTACTATGTTGCCATGGAAACTACACCAAAAATTTCAAAAATTTCAAAATGCTCCAAACTTAATGAAACTTCACAGTAACGATGAGCGGCATTTGTAGATGTGGCATTTGGCTTTGAAATTTCCAAAATGACTGCCGTTACCATGGAAACAATGCAAAATTTGTCAAAATGCTCCAAAAACCTTAAAGTAGCATTTCCTCTCTTAAAATGGTAGGTCAAATCCAGTGAAACTTTGATGGTATGTTCCATGTACCAATGTGGCATCTGTAATTAAATTTTTTGGAATGGTCTCTGTTACCACGGAAACCAGCAAAAATGTACAAAATTTCAAAATGCTCCAAACTTAATGAAACTTATTATGACTGTTAACTGGCAAGTATAGATGAGACTTTTGACTTCAGAATTTTCAAAATGGCCACAGTTGCCATGGAAACTGCAAAAATGTCAAAAATATTAAAAATGCTCCAAACTTAATGAAACTAAATATGATTGTTAACTGGCAAGTATAGATGAGACTTTTGACTTTAGAATCTTAAAATTGGCTGCCGTTGCCATGGAAACCGCTGAAATGTGAAAAATTCCAAAATACTCTAAATGTACTGAAAATTTACAGAAAGATGTATAGCAATGCAGTTATGCGCATTCACTGTTTAAAATTTTCGAAAAAGGCTGCCGCTTAGTGTCAATGGGGGAAGGTGACATCCGCTATTGCTTGCAATGGCAAATCTAGTTATGGCACCCTCAACTGAGTTGGGGTGACATATTGTTATTCTACGTTTCTTTTTTTTTCTTATTTTTCTTCCACACATTTTGTCCGCGCGAGTTCTTGGAATCCAATGGACCAATGTTGATGGAACTCTACTATAATAAGGACCCCCATGTAAAGTTGTGCACCTTGCTATGGAATGGTTAACAATGGCCGCCGTTTCCATGGAAACAGCAAAAATGCGAAAAAAATCAAAGTGTTCCAAACTGGAAGAAACTCCACGGGAAAGGTAACTGACATGTGCTGATTTGCAGTTTGACCTTGGAATTTTCAAAATGGCTGCCGTTACCATGGAAACAGCTAAAATATCAAAAATTCTAACTCCTTCGATATAAGACCCAACTGGATGAAACTTAATGAAAATGTTACCCAGTATGCCAAGAAGTCAAGACGATATTTGGATAGTCCAAAATGGCCGCCGTTGTCATGGAAACTGAGGCCAAGTTTAACATTGACCCTTTGGGAAAATGCATAAAATCAGTATTTTCTTAAGGAGTATTTCACCAAAGTCAATGAAACTGTACTGATATATAACATGACATGTGGCAATGAGATGTCTGCTTTTAGAATTTTGGAATTATCCACTGTAACCATGGATGCAGCAAAAATGACCAAAATTTCAAAAAAAATCAAAATGCTGCAAACTGGATGAAACTTTACAGAAATAGTTACTGGCATGGGCAGAGTTGCATTTTGAAGTTGGATTTTTCAAAATGGCTGCCGTAACCATGGAAACAGCAAAAATGTCCAAAATTTCAAAATGCTCCAAACTAAATGAAACTTAACAAAAATGATAATTTGCATGTGTTAATGCACTCTTTGACTTTGGAATTTTCTAAATGGCTGCCGCTCGCCTGGCAATGGGGGAAGGGTGCCATCCGCTATTGCTTGCAATGGCAAATCTAGTTTTTATTATTTTTCTTCCACACATTTTGTCCAGCTAATTTCTCGGAATCCAAGTTGATGGAACTCTACTATATTAAGGACCACCATGTGAAGAATTGCAGTAGACTTGCGAATCTGCATGATGGCCACCGTTTCCATGAAAACGGTAAATATGTAAAAAAAAAATCAAAAATCCAAATCTTTTATTATAAAACCCAATTGGATGAGACTTTATTGAAATGTAACTTGGTATGCCTAGATGTATGTACTTATTGAGAAATTCTAGAATGGCCGCCATTGTCATGGAAACAGGGCGAAAGTTTAACATTGGCTCTATGGGAAAAAACATTTACGCTGCTTTTTCTTAAAGAATATAATATTAAACCCATAGAAATTTTATGGGTATGTAACATATAATGAGTCAAAGTGGTATATGGCTTTGGAATTTTGAAAATGGCTACCGTTACCATGGAAACTATAAAAATTTCAAAATGCACCAAACTTGATGAGACTTACCAAAAATGTAAACTGCCATATGTACAGTTGAAATATGATTTTGAAATTTTCAAAATGGCCGCCGTAACCATGGAAACGACCAAAAAGTTATAATTTTCAAAATACTCCAAATGGTCTAAAAATGTACTGTAATGATAGCTGGCGTGTCAAGATGCGACTTTCGACTTTGGAATTTTCAAAATGGCCGCGGTAACCATGGAAACAGCAAAAATGTCTAAAATTTCGAAATGCTCTTAACTTAATCAAACTATACAAAAATGATAATTTGCATGTGTAGATGCACTCTTTGAATTTGGAATTTTCTAAATGGCTGCCGCTCGCCTGGCAATGGGGGAAAGGGTGCCATCCGGTATTGTTTGCAATGGCAAATCTAGTTATATTTATTCTTCCACACTTTTTGTCCATGCTATTTCTCGGAATTGAGTAGACCAATGTTGATGGAACTTTACCATAATGTGGACCACTATGTGAAGTTGTGCAATCGGGGTATGGCATTTTCAAAATTGCCACCGTTACCATGGAAACAGAATAAATGAGAAAAAATATTTTTTTGTTTTTTGTCAATAATTAGAGTATGCCTGAACTTAGAATCATCAACTTTTTATACATTACTGCTGTCCACTATATACAGGTTTTAGATGATTATGAGAATCTTTGGAACTACTATATTGCCATGGCAACTGGATATGTTTAACATTAACCCCTATGGGAAAACCTTAAAGTAGCATTCACATGAATATGGTAGGTCAAAATTCAGTGGATATTTAATGGTAATGTCCCTGTCATGTGCTAATGTTGCAGGTGTCATTGGAATTTTGAAAATGGTCACCGTTACCATGGAAACAGCAGAAATGTTCAAAAATTTCAATATGCTCCAAACTTAAACTTTATATCAATGTTGACTGGTAAGTAAAGATAAGACTTTTGACTTTGGAATTTCCAAAATGGCCGCCGTTGCCATGGAAACTGCAAAAATGTGAAAAAATGAAAAATGGTCCAAACTTCCTGAAAATTAACCGACGAATATGTTATGACATATTTACGTGCATTGACTGTTTTAAATTTAGAAATGGCCTCAGTTTATTGGCTTGAACAATATTGATTGAACTATACCATAATGTGGACCACTATATAAAATTGTGCAATCGGGGTATGGCATTTTCAAAATGTCGACCGTTACCATGGAAACAGAACAAATGTGAAAAATAAAATTTTAGTTTTTGGCTAATATTTTGAGTATGCTTGAACTTAAAATCATCAAATTTATATATACAGTTGGTGTCCACTATATACAGGTTTTAGACGATTCTGAGAATCTTTGGAACTACTATATTGCCATGGAAACTAAATATGATTAGCACTCTTAACATGGTATAACAAACCATTGAATCTTTAATGGTATGTTGCTTATCATGTGCCAATGTGGTAGGTGTCTTTGGAATTTTGGAAATGGTTACCGTTACCATGGAAATAGCAGCAATATCAACAAATTTCAAAATGTTCCACACTTTCTGATAACTTACAGAAGTGTTAAGTGGCACATCACGAGTTGCTATTCGACTTTGGAATTTCTAAAATGGCTGCCGTTTCCATAGAAACAACAAAAATTTCAAAAATTTCAAAACGCTCCAAAATTGAAACTTTACAACAATGTCAATAGACATCTGTAGATGCATGTCCATTGTTTGTCTTAAATTTTCAAAATGGCTGCAGTTTAGTGGCAATGTGGGAAGGGTGACATCCGCCATTGCTTGCAATGGCAAATCTAGTTATTATTATTTTTCTTCCGCTATTTTTGTCCGGAGCAGTTCTAGGAATTGAATGAACCAAAGTTGTTGGAACTATGTTATAATGTTGACCACCATGTGAAGTTGTCTATCTGACTTTGGAATGGGCAAGATGGCCACGGTTACCATGGAAACTGCTAAAATGCGAAAAAATTTCAAAATTCTAAATCTTTCATTATAAGTCATAACAGGATGAAACTTTATGGAAATGTTACTTGGCATGCCTAGATGTGCGGACAATATTCAGAAGTTCCAACATGGCCGCCATTGTCATGGAAACAGGGCAAAAGTTTAGCATTAGCCCTATGGGAAAATACATTAAAGCTGCATTTTGTACAGGAATGTTAGATCAAACATAATGAAACTTTATTGATATGCTACTTGGCATGTCCCAAAGTGGCACATGTCTTTGGAATTTTGGAAATGGTAACCGTTACCATGGAAACAGCAAAAATTTCAAAAATTTCAAAATGCTCCAAATGAAATGAAATTTTAAACAATGTTAACAAACATGTGTAGATGCGCTCTTTGACTTTGGAATTTTCAAAATGGCTGCCGCTCGCCTGACAATTGGGAGACGAGGGTGCCATCCGTTATTGCTGGCAATTACAAATCTAGTTATTATGGCACCCTCAACGGAGTTGGGGTGACATATTGTTATTGTTCCGTTCTTTTTTTCTTATTTTTATTTTTATTCTTCCACATTTTTTGTCCATGGTATTTCTCGGAATTAGAAGAAAAAATCTTGATGGAACTATGCTCTAATGTTGACCACCATGTGAAGTTGTGCAGTGGACTTTGGAATGTGCATGATGGCCACCGTTGCCATGGAAACTAAAAAAATGTAAAAAAAAATCAAAATTCTAAATCTTTCATTATAAGACCTAACTGGATGAAACCTTATGGTAATGTTACCTGGTATGCCTAGATGTACAGACAATATTTAGAAATTCCAAAATGGCTGACATTGTCATGGAAACAGGGCGAAAGTTTAACATTGACCCTATGGGAAAACACATTAAAGCTGCATTTTCTTAAAGAATATTAAATTAAACCCAATGAAACTGTATTTATATGTAAAAAGTAAAATCACAAAAACAATTGCATGTGCCAATGTGGCATCTGTCTTTGGAATTTTGGAAATGGTCACCGTTACCATGGAAACAGCAAAAATGTTCAAAAATTTCAAAATGCTCCAAACCTTATGAAACGTTACAGATATGTTAATAGGCATGTGCTGAATTGATATTTGATTTTGGAATTTTAGAATTTCAAAATGGCTGCAGTTTAGTGGCAATGTGGGAAGGGTGCCATCCGCTATTGCTTGCAATGGCAAATCTAGTTATTATTATTATTCTTAACCCTTATTTGTCCGACCATTTTCTTCCAAGCCTTAAATGATGGAAACTTTATATTTGGTATGATGTTTGGGTAGTATCCCTAGGGGTGCATTCGCTGTTTTTTATTTCAAATGGGGGTCAACTTGGCACTTTTTGGGGGCCGGAACATGGGTTGGGTCATTTTTCGAATATTGATTCGCTACTGGTAGAACCTTTAAGTTTTGTGTAATACAAGAGACCGATGTCCAGGTGTCCATTCCACATTTTTTATTTCAGCCCGGGGTCATCTTGGCATTATTTTAGGGGGTCAATTTTCATGGAACATTCTAGAACAATAGTGAAAAATGTGATTAGTCATGTGATAGTGTTGAGTTATTCCTATGTACTTTTTAAGTTATATAATGATTGATTATTACAGGTAGCACCATATGTAGCTGTAATTTGACTTTGGAATTTTTAAAATGGCCGCCGTTACCATGGAAACTGCAAAAATGTGATTTTTTTTATAATGCTTCAAATTTATTGAAATTTTACGGAGATGTTAACGAGTATATGTAGATTTGGAATTTGACTTTGGAATTTCCAAAATGGCCGCCGTTGCCATGGAAACACCAAAAATTCGAAAAATTTAGATTTAGTCCAATTTTTATGAAACTTGACAGTAATGTGACCTGTCATGTGTAGATGTGCCATCCAACTTTGAAATTTTACAAATGGCTGTCGTTACCATGGAAATTGCAAAAATGTCAACAAATTCAAAATGCTTCAAACTAAATGAAACTTTACACAAATGTTGACTGTCTTATGTAGATGTGGCATTTGATTTTGGAATTTCCAAAATGGCCGCCGTAACCATGGAAACACGAATGCCACAATTTAAAAATTGGTCCAATTTTTATGAAACTTGTAAGGTATGTGACCTGTCATGTGTAGATGTGCTATCCAACTTTGAAATTTGAAAATGGCTGCCGTTACCATGGAAACAGCAGAACAATGGTTGGGGGCCGTTTTGGCGACTTTTGTGTTAGCATCCTAACACAGGATTACTTGTTATGGCACCCTCAACGGAGTTGGGGTGACATATTGTTATTCTACGTTTCTTTTTTTCTTATTATGGCACCCTCAACGGATTTGGCAGACATATTGTTATTCTACGTTTCTTTTTTTTTTCTTATTATTAAGTCGCCAAAACGGAGTTTTGGGGACTTTATGTTTTTGTCCCGTTTCTTATTATTATTATTATGGCACCCTCAACGGAGTTGGGGTGACATATTGTTATTCTACGTTTCTTTTTTTTCTTTTTTTTATTATTATTTTTCTTCCACTATTTTTGTCCGGAGCAGTTCTCAGAATAGAATGGACCAAAGTTGATGGAACTATGTTATAATGTTGACCACCATGCGAAGTTATCCCTCTGACTTTGGAATGGTCAAGATGGCCACTGTTATTAGGAAACAGCAAGAATGCGAAAAAAATCAAAGTGTTCCAAAGTGGAAGAAACTTCACAGGAATGATAACTGGCAGGTGCTGATTTACAGTTTGACTTCGGAATTTTCAAAATGGCCGCTGTTACCATGGAAACTGCAAAAATGTCAAAAATTTTAAAAAGCTCCAAAATTTATGAAACTTTAAAAAAGTGTTAATTTGCAAGTTTTGATGCACTCTTTGATTGAGGAATTTTCAAAATGGCTGCCGTTACCCTGGCAATGCGGGAAGTGTGCCATCCGTTATTGCTAGCAATTACAAATCTAGTTATGTCACCCGTACGACAATGTCGGGTGACATATTGGTTTTCCTCCGTTTCTTTATTATGTCACCCGATCGACAATGTCGGGTGACATATTGCTTTTCCTCCGTTTCTTTTTATTATTATTTTTCTTCAACCTTTTTTGTCCGAAGCATTCCTGGGAGTTTAGTGGACCAATCCTATTGAATGGTTACCATAATGAGGTCCACCATCTAAAGTTGTGCAGGACATCTTCGGAATTTTTAAAATGGCCACCGTTACCATGGAAACAGCACAAATGCGAAAAATAGGAAAGTTTTCCAAACTTAGTGAAACTTTACAGAAATGTTAATTGGCATATGCACATCTGGCATTTGATTTGGAAATTTCCAAAATTGCCGCCATTGCCATGGAAAACGGAGACAAAGTTTTAACATTGGACCCTATGGGAAAATTCTTTAAGTGGCATTTACTCACTTAACATGGTAGGTTAAAGATTCTTTCATGCAATGTTCCCTGTCATGTGCCAATATGCATCTGTCTTTTTTGAAATTTTGGAAACGATGGAAACAGCACAAATTCAAAAATGTGTAAAAATTTCAAAATGCTCCAAATTTAATGAAACTTAATATCAATGTTAATTGGCAAGCACAGATGAGACTTTTGACTTTTGCATTTCCAAAATGGCCACCGTTGCCATGGAAACAGCAAAAATGTGATATATTTCAAAGTGCTCCAAATCAACTGAAACTTTACAGAAATGTTAACTGGCATATATTTATCTGGCATTCGATTTTGAAATCTTCAAAATGGCTGCCGTAACTGTGGCAATGGGGGCGGGTGACATCCGCTATTGCTTGCAATGGCAAGTCTAGTTATTATTATTATTATTATTCCACCTTTTTTGTCCTAGAGTTTTCTCATAGATTAGTGGACCAATCATAACGAATGTGTACCATAATGAGGACCACCAACTCTAGTTATGCAGGACACCTTTGGAATTTTTTAAATGGCCACCGTTTCCATGGAAACCGCAACAATGGGAAAAATTTTCAAAAAGCTAATTCTTTTATTATTAGACCAAACCAAATGAAACTTTATGGAAATGTTGCCTGGTATGTGTGGAAGCACCGACTATATTTAGAAATTCCAAAATGGCTGCCATTACCACGGAAACTGGGCAAAAGTTTAACATTGACACTATGGAAAAACATATTAAAGGAGCATTTTCTTAAAGAATATAAGATTAAACCAAATGAAACTTCAATCATATGTAACATGTCATCATTCAGTGTGGCATATGTCTTTGGAATTTGGATTTAATCACCGTTACCATGGAAACAGCAAAAATTTCAAAAATTTCAAAAATGCTCCAAATTTTATGAAACTTAATATAAATGTTAACTGGCAAGTATAGATCAGACTATTCACTTTGGAATTTCCAAAAGGGCCGCCGTTGCCATAGAAACATCAAAAATGTGAAAAATTTCAAAAAGCTCTTAATGTTCTGAAAATTTGTAGAAAGGTGTATAGCAATGCATATATGTGCATCCACTGTTTAAAATTTTCGAAATGGCTGCCACTTAGTGGCAGTGGGGGAAGGGTGACATCCGCTATTGCTTGCCAAAGCAATTCTAGTTATGTCACCCTGACGGAGGTTGGGTGACATATTGTTATTGTTCGATTCTTTTTTTTATTATTCTTATTCAACACTTTTTGTCCAGCTTAGTTCTCGGAATTGAATGGACCAATTGTGATGGACCTATACCATAATGTTAACCACCATGTGTAGGTGTGCACCTGACTGGCTGCCATTGCAAAAATGTGAAAAATAGAAATGTGTTCCAATTTATATGAAACTTCTATGATATTAAGAGACTCATGCACACTTCAACATAGAACATTTTTATTTCAACTGGGGGATCTCTTTGGCATAATTTGAGGGGGTGAATTTTTCATGGAACATTCCAGAACATTAGTGTTAAAATAGTTCTACAGACATTAAATGTAATATGATGGTATATTATTATGGGGAAAACAATATGCAGCAGTAGTTTGACTTTGAAATTTTTAAAATGGCGGCCGTTACCATGGAAACAGCAAAAATACAAAAAATATCAAAATGCTCCAAATTCATTGGAATTTAAAACAGATAGATCTCTTGTCATGCATAAATCTGCATTCATTGATGGAAAATTTCGAAATGGCTGCTGTTTAGTGGCAATTGGCAGACCAGGATGACATCCGCTATTGCTTGCAATGGCAATTCTAGTTATGGCACCCTCAACGGAGTTGGGGTGACATACTGTTATTCTACGTTTCTTTTTTTTCTTATTTTTCTTCCACACATTTTGTCCGCGCGAAATCTTGGAATCCAATGGACCAATGTTGATGGAACTCTACTATAATGAGTACCCCCATGTAAAGTTGTGCACCTTGCTATGGAATGGTAAAAAATGGCCGCCGTTTCCATGGAAACAGCAAAAATGCGAAAAAAATCAAAGTGTTCCAAACTGTAAGAAACTCCACAGGAATGGTTACTGGCATGTGCTGATTTGCAGTTTGACTTTGAAATTTTCAAAATGGCTGCCGTTACCATGGAAACAGCTAAAATATTAAAAATTCTAACTCTTCCGATATAAGACCCAACTGGATGAAACTTTATGAAAATGTAACCCAGTATGCTAAGATGTCAAGACAATATTTGGATAGTCCAAAATGGCCGCCGTTGTCATGGAAACATGGGGCAAGTTTTACATTGACCCTATGGGAAAATGCATAAAATCAGCATTTTCTTAAAGAGTATTCCATTAAAGGCAGTGAAACTGTACTGATATATAACATGACCTGTGGCAATTAGATGTCTGCTTTTAGAATTTTGGAATTATCCACTGTAACCATGAAAACAGCAAAAATGTCCAAAATTTAAATAAAAATCAAAATGCTGCAAACTGGATGAAACTTAACAGAAATGGTAACTGGCATAGGCAGAGTTGCATTTTGCAGTTGGAATTTTCAAAATGGCCGCCGTAACCATGGAAACAGCAAAAATGTCCAAAATTTCAAAATGCTCCAAACTTAATGAAACTATACAAAAATAATAATTTGCATGTGTAGATGCCCTCTTTGACTTTGGAATTTTCTAAATGGCTGCCGCTCGCCTGGCAATGGGGGAAGGGTGCCATCCGCTATTGCTTGCAATGGCAAATCTAGTTATTATTATTCTTCTTAACCCTAATTTGTCCGACCATTTTTTTCCAAGCCTTAAATGATGGAAACTTTATATTTGGTATGATGTTGGGGTAGTATCCCTAGGGATGCATTCACTAATTATTATTTCAAATGGGGGTCAACTTGGCACTATTTGAGGGCCGGAACATGTTTGGGGTCATTTTTCGACTATTGATTCGCTCCTGGTAGAACCTTTAAGTTTTGTGTAATACAAGAGACCGATGTCCAGGTGTCCATTCCACATTTTTTATTTCAGCCCGGGGTCATCTTGGCATTATTTTAGGGGGTCAATTTTCATGGAACATTATAGAACAATAGTCATTTGATTAGTCATGTGATAGTGTTGAATTATTCCTATGCACTTTTTATGTTATATAATGATAGATTATTACAGGTAGCACCATATGTAGTTGTAATTCCACTTTGGAATTTTTCAAATGGCCGCCGTTACCATGGAAACTGCAAAAATTTAAATTTTTTTTAAAATGCTTCAAATTTAATGAAATTTTACAGAGATGTTAACTAGTGTATGTAGATTTGGAATTTGACTTTGAAATTTCCAAAATGGCCGCCGTTGCCATGGAAACAACAAAAATGCGAAAAATCTAGATTTGGTCCAATCTTTATGAAAGTAATGACAGTAATGTGACCAGTCATGTGTAGATGTGCCATCCGATTTTGGAATTTTCAAAATGGCTGCCGTTTCCATGGAAACTACACAAACGTGAAAAAAATCCAGTTTTTGGTTTTGGTGAATTATTACGATATGCTTAAACTTAGAATCATTATATTTTAAAATAATGTAGGTGCCCACTATATACTGGTTTTGGTATGATTTTGGCAATCATTGGAACTACTATGTTGCCATGGAAACTACACCAAAAATTTCAAAAATATCAAAATGCTTCAAATTTAATAAAACTTTATAGTAACGATGAGCAACATTGGTAGATGTGGAATTTGGCGTTGGAATTTCGAAAATGTCTGCCGTTACCATGGAAACAATGCAAAAAGGTCAAAATGCTCCAAAACTTAAGGGTTTGGTGAATAATGTGGGTATGCTATAACTTGAAATCATCAAATTTTTATACAATGTAGTTGTCCATTATATTCAGGATTTGGATGATTTTCACAGTCATTACAACTACTATGTTACCATGGATACAGCAGCAAAATTTTCAAAATTTTCAGAATGCTTCAAACTTTATGAAACTTCACAATAATGTTGACTGGCATGTGTAGAAGTGGTAACTGGTGTTGGAATTTCCAAAATGGCTGCCGTTGTCATGGAAATTGGGGGCAAGTTTAACATTGACCCTATGGGAAAATGCATAAAATCAGCATTTTCTTAAAGAGTATTTGACCAAAGTCAATGAAACTGTATTGATATATAACATGACACGTGGCAATGAGATGTGTGCCTTTAGAATTTTGGAATTATCCACTGTAACCATGGATACAGCAAAAATGTCTAAAGTTTCAAAAAAATCAAAATGCTGCAAACTGGATGAAACTTTACAGAAATGGTAACTGGCATAAGCACAGTTGCATTTTGAAGTTGGAATTTTCAAATGGCCGCGGTAACCATGGAAACAGCAAAAATGTCTTAAATTTCGAAATGCTCCAAACTTAATCAAACTATACAAATATGATAATTTGCATGTGTAGATGCCCTCTTTGACTTTGGAATTTTCTAAATGGCTGCCGCTCGCCTGGAAATGGGGGAAGAGTGTCATCCGTTATTGCTAGCAATTACAAATCTAATTATGGCACCCTCAACGGAGTTATTCTACGTTTCTTTTTTTCTTATTATTTTTTTTCTTCCACTATTTTTGTTCAGCTTATATCTTGGAATTGTATGAAGCAATTGTTATGGAACTATACCATAATGTTAACCAGCATGTGCAGATTTGCAATCGGGGTATGGCATCATCAAGATGGCTGCCGTTGCCATGGAAACTGATAAAATGTGAAAAAAAAATGCAAATTCTAAATCTTTCATTATAAGACCTAACTGGATGAAACTTTATGGAAATGTTGCCTGGTATCCCTAGATGTGCATGCAATATTAGGAAATTCCAAAATGGCCGCCATTGTCATGGAAACAGGGCGAAAGTTTAACATTGACCCTTTGGCAAAACACATTGAAGCTGCATTTTCTGCAAGAATATCAGATCAAACCTTGAATGGATATGTAACATGGCATATCTCAAAGTGGCACCTGTTTTTGAATTTTGAAAAATGTACCCGTTACCATGGAAATAGCAAAAAATTCAAAAATTTCAAAATGCTCCAAAATTGATGAAACTTTACAAAAAGGATAATTTGCATGTGTAGATGCACTCTTTGACTTTGGATTTTTCTAAATGGCTGTCACTCACCTGGCAACGGGGGAAGGGTGCCATCCGCTATTGCTTGCAATTGCAAATCTAGTTATGTCTACCGATCGACAATGTCGGGTGACATATTGCTTTTCCTCCGTTTGTTTTTTTTTATTATTATGGCACCCTCAACGGAGTTGGGGTGACATATTGTTATTCTACGTTTCTTTTTTTTCTGATTATGGCACCCTCAACGGAGTTGGGGTGACATATTGTTATTCTACGTTTGTTTTTTTTCTTATTATGGCATTCTCAACGGAGTTGGGGTGACATTTTGTTATTCTACGTTTCTTTTTTTTTATTATTATGGCACCCTCAACGGAGTTGGGGTGACGTATTGTTATTCTACGTTTCCTTTTTTTATGGCACCCTCAACGGAGTTGGGGTGACATATTGTTATTGTTCGTTTCTTTTTTTCTTATTATTTTTATTCTTCCACACTTTTTGTCCACGGCAGTTCTCGTTATTGGATGGATCAATCTTGGTGAAACTATGCTATAATGTTGACCACCTTATGAAGTTGTGCACCTGACTTTGGAATGTGCAAGATGGCCACGGTTACCATGGAAACTACTAGTAAAATAATGTAAAAAAAAATCAAAATTCTAACTCTTTCGTTATAAGAGCCAACCTTATGAAACTTTGTACAAATGTTAGTGGTGGTGCCCCGAGATACCAACAGTACTTAGAATTTCCAAAATGGCTGCCATTGCCATGGAAACTGGAGAAACGTTTAACATTGACCCTATGGGAAAACACATAAAAGCTGTATTTTCTTTTAGAATTTTCAATGAAACCTTATGAAACTTTATGGATATGTACCATGGCATATGTCAATGCCTCATCTGTCTTTGGAATTTTGGAAATGCTCTTCGTTACCATGGAAACAGCCAAAATTTCAAAAATTTCAAAATACTCCAAATTTTTCTAAAAATTTACAGGAATGTTACATGGCATGTCAGGAAATGATATTTGATTTTGGAATTTTCAAAGTGGCTGCAGTTTAGTGGCAACGTGGGATGGGTGCCATCCGCTATTGCTTGCAATGGCAAATCTAGTTTTTCTTATTCTTCTTCCACACATTTTGTCCGTCGTGTTTCTCGGAATTCAATGGACCAATGCTGATGGAACTTTACTATAACGAGGACCCCCATGTAAAGTTGTGCACCTTGGTATGGAATGGTTCAAAATGGCCGCCGTTTCCATGGAAACAGCAAAATTGCGAAAAAAATCAAAGTGTCCCAAATGGAAAGAAACTTCACAGAAATGGTAACTGGCATGTGCTGATTTGCAGTTTGACTTAGGAATTTCCAAAATGGCCGCCGTTACCATGGAAACTGCAAAAATGTCAAAATTTTCAAAATGCTCCAAACTTATTGAAACTATACAAAAATGTTAATCAGCATGTGTAGATGCACTCTTTGGCTTTGGAATTTTTAAAATGGCTGCCGTTACCATGGCAATGGGGGAAGGGTGCCATCCGTTATTGCTAGCAATTACAAATCAAGTTTCTTATTATTTTTTTTCTTCCACTATTTTTGTGAAGCTTATATCTTGGAATTGTATGAAGCAATTGTTATGGAACTATACCATAATGTTAATCAGCATGTGCAATCGGGCTATGGCATCATCAAGATGGCTGCCGTTGCCATGGAAACTGCTAAAATGTGAAAAAAATTGCAAATTCTAAATCTTTCATTTTAAGACATAACTGGATGAAACTTTATGGAAATGTTACTTGGCATGCCTAGATGTGCAGACAGTATTTAGAAATTCCAAAATGGCCTCCATTGTCATGGAAACAGGACGAAAGTTTAACATTGTCCCATGGGAAAATACATTAAAGCTACATTTTCTCGAAGAATGTAACATCAATCTCAATGAAACGTGATAGATATGTAACATGGCATGTAACAATGTGACATCTGTCTTTGGAATTTTGGAAATGGTCACCGTAACCATGGAAACATCAAAATCTTTGAAATTTTAAAAATGCTCCAAACTTCATGAAACTTTACAAAAAAATTAACTGGCATGTGCACATACGCTATTCGACTTTGGAATTTTCAAAATGGCTGCCATTACCGTGGCAATGGGGGAAGGGTGCCATCCGTTATTGTTAGCAATTGCAAATCTAGTTATTTTATTATTCTTCCACACATTTTGTCCACGCTGTTTCTCAGAATTGAGTGATACAATGTTAATGGAACTATACTTTAATGAGGACCCACCCCCATGTGAAGTTGTGCATCTGACTCTGGAATTTTTTAATATGGCCGCCGTTTCCATGGAAACTGCAAAACAGTGAAAAAATTTCAAAATTCTAAATCTTTCATTATAAGACCTAGCTGGATGAAACTTTATGGTAATGTTCCTTGGTATGCCTAGATGTTGTGACAATATTTGGAAATTCCAAAATGGCCGCCATTGTCATGGAAACAGGGCGAAAGTTTAACATTGACCCTATGGGAAAACTCATTGAAGCTGCATTTCCTGCAAGAATGTTAGATCAAACCTTCTAGAACTTAATGGATATGTAACATGGCATATCCAAAAGTGGCACCCGTTTTTGGAATTTCGGAAATTGTACCCGTTACCATGGAAATAGCAAAAAATTTCAAAAATTTCAAAATGCTCCAAAATTGATGAAACTTTACAACAATGTTAATAGACATCTGTAGATGCGCTCTTTGACTTTGGAATTTTCAAAATGGCTGCCGCTCACCTGGCAAAGGGGGAAGGGTGCCATCCGTTATTGCTAGCAATTACAAATCTAGTTATTATGTCACCCGATCGACAATGTCGGGTGACATATTGCTTTTCCTCTGTTTCTTTTTATTATTATTTTTCTTCCACCTATTTTGTCCTAAGCATTCCTGGGAGTTTAGTGGACCAATCCTATTGAATGGTAAGCATAATGAGGTCCACCATCTAAAGTTGTGCAGGACATCTTCGGAATTTCTAAAATGGCCACCGTTACCATGGAAACAGCACAACTGCGAAAAATAGGAAAGTGTTCCAAACTTAATGAATCTTTACAGAAATGTTAGTTGGCAAATGCTAATGTGGCATTTAGTGTAAACATATTTTATTAATTAAATTCAGGTTAAGTAATGTACACAAATTGGCATTTACATATTAATACAAGTGAATAATTAATAGGATCCAGAAACAAGCTGTTAGCTTATATTAATCCGTTTCCTAATTCAACTAAGAACATTTCATATTGTAATACTCAAGGAGTAGAGTGTAAAAAAATTAACAATGTTACACTAAATGGAAAACAAACAAAACATATACATGTAATAAGGTTGTGAACACAAAAGAGAAAAAATTTTTTTTTTTTTTTTTTTTTTTACATCAGATATACAATAATAAAGTGTATGTTTCTGAACGGACACAATTATTTAAGATATAAGAATGTGGCATTTGACTTTGAATTTCCAAAATAGCCGCCGCTGCCATAGATTGATTGATTGATTGTTGGTGTTTTAACGCCACTTTTTAGCTCCACTTTTGGGCTATTTCGTGGCGACCAGTTTTTATTGGTGGAGGAAGCCGGAGTGCCCGGAGAAAACCACCGACCTTCGATAGGAAAACTGACAATACTAGTCAATTAAGATTGGAGTCGAGTGCACCCGCACGAGCGGGGTTCGAACTTACAACCTCAGTGTTGACTGGCTAGTGATTACAGTAGTAGAACTACTTAGACCGCTTGGCCACCGAGGCCCCCCGCTGCCATAGAAACCGGAGACAAAGTTTTAACATTGGACCCTATGGGAAAATTCTTTAGGTAGCATTTACTCACTTAACATGGTAGGTCAAATACCATGATTCTTTCATGGAATGTTCCCTGTCATGTGCCAATATGGCATCCATCTTTGAAATTTTGGAAACGATCACTGTTGCCATGGAAACGGAAAAATTCAAAAATGTCTAAAAATTTCCAAATGCTCCAAAATTACTAAGACTTAATATTAATGTTAACTGGCAAGTAAATATGAGACTTTTGAACATTGGAATTTCCAAAATGATGTTGCCATGGAAACAGAAAAAATGTCAAAAATTTCAAAATGCTCTAAATCTTTCATTATAAGACCCAAGTGGATGAAACTTTATGGAAGTGTTACCTGATATTCCCAGATGTGCAAGCAATATTAAGAAATTCCAAAATGGCCGCCATTGTCATGGAAACAGGGCGAAAGTTTAACATTGACCAAATGGGAATACACATTAAAGCTGCATTTCCTGCAAGGATTTTAGATCAAATCTAATAAAACTTTATGGATAGGTCACATGCCATGTCCTAAAGTGGCACCTGTCTTTGGAATTTTGGAAATAGTAACCTTTACCATAGAAACAGCAAAAATTTCTAAAATTTAAAAATGCCCTAAACTTTATGAAACTTTACAACAATGTTAACAGACATCTGTAGATACACTCTTTGACTTTGGAATTTTCAAAATGGCTGCCGCTCGTCTGGCAAATGGGGAAGGGTGCCATACGTTATTGCTAGCAATTACAAATCTAGTTATTTTATTTTTCTTCCACTTTTTTTGTCCAGCTTATATCTCAGAATTGTAAGAACCAATGTTAATGGAACTATACCATAATGTTAACCAACATGTGCAGATTTGCAATCGGGGTATGGAATTTTCAAAATGGCCACCATTACTATGGAAACAGCAAAAATGTCCAAAATTTCAAAGTGCTCCAAACTTGATGAAATTTTACAGAAATGTTATTTGGCATGTGCAGATGTTCTTTTTGACTTTGGAATTTTTAAAATGGCTGCCGTTACCCTGGCAATGGGAGAAGGGTGCCATCCGTTATTGCTAGCAATTACAAATCTAGTAATGGCACCCTCAACGGAGTTGAGGTGACATACTGTTATTCTACATTTCTTTTTTTTCTTATTATTTTTCTTGCACAAATTTTGTCCGCGCGAGTTCTTGGAATCCAATGGACCAATGTTGATGGAACTCTACTATAATGAGGACCCCCATGTAAAGTTGTGCACCTTGCTATGGAATGGTAAAAAATGGTCGCCGTTTCCATGGAACCAGCAAAAATGCCAAAAAAATCAAATTGTTCCAAACTGGAAGAAACTGCACAGGAATGGTAAGTGGCATGTGCTGATATGAAGTTTGACTTCGGAATTTTCAATATGGTTGCCGTTACCACAGCTAAAATATCAAAAATTCTAACTCTTCCGTTATATGAACCAACTGGATGAAACTTAATGAAAATATTACCCAGTATGCCAAGATGCCAAGACAATATTTGGATACTCCAAAATGGCCGCCGTTGTCATGGAAACTGGGGCAAGTTTAACATTGACCCTATGGGAAAATGCATAAAATCAGCATTTTCTTAAAGAGTATTTCACCAAAGTTAATGAAACTGTATTGATATATAACATGACATGTGGCAATGAGATGTCTGCTTTTAGAATTTTAGAATTCTCCACTGTAACCATGGCTGCAGCATAAATGTCCAAAATTTCAAAAAAAATCAAAATGCTGCAAACTGGATGAAACTTTACAGAAATGATAACTGGCATAGGCAGAG